TGACATTTTCACTTTACGATAGGTTTCTTGTGATGCCAATCCTTGTAAGTTCAGGGGCATCTGATCTATTTCAGCACTGCCACCAGTGTGGTTCTCTTAAAACTCTGAGTCAAATCACGTCACTCTTCTACTCAAAGCCTTCTGGAGGGGATGGGTGTATGACTCACAGCAGGGCGTTTGCCTAGCATGCACAAGGCTCTGGAATTCCCAGTATTACAAAAATAAGAAAAACAAAAACAGAAAACCCTTTGCTGGCTCCTGGCTTTACTCAAAGGAAATGCTGTCATCTTCCGGGCCTCCCTTCCCACCTCTTCCCAGCATCCCTCCAGCTTAACCGGCTTCGTAGTTATTTTGTGCAGCACAGCAGACATGAAGCCGCCCCGGGCTGAGGCACGCGCAGCTTCCGCTTCCTCCTGATGAGTGTGCGCTTCCCTCTCTCACTTCCCACACCTTTGCTCAGCTGTCGCCCTGTCACCGGCTTGTTTACCACAGTACAGTAAGAACCCCTTCCTCATCCTTCCTTACTTTCCCTTTCCTAGGACATTTATCACCGCCTACCATACTGTATGTTCTAGTTCTTTGTTTGTTGTCCCTGCCCAAACACCCACACTAGAAGCCTCTGTCCCTGTGTTTGTCAGCTCTGTTATTACTGCCTGTGTACTTGACTACTTTTCCCAAGAAATTATTCTGACTCTATTAGGGGGTTAGACCTTTGTCTTATCCACTTGGGTACAGGCAGTACCAAGGACTGGTACCTACCTGGAGAAAGGGCCCCTCCCAGCAGTAGATGCTGGTACATGTTTTGTTACTGGCGATCACTCCAATTGATTCCCTCAACTGGATGGGCAACATGGGCATTTCTCTTGCGTTGTCTTAATTAAGCACTAGAGCACCACATTCTCCCTGAGACCTTCCCACTCTACCTGTCTTGTGCCCCAGTATCCTGGGCTCCACTTCGTGAAAAGGCCTCAGCCCCAGAGAGCAGGAAAATCTCCTTCATTCAATTCAGTTCTGCCCCTTTAATCACGGGTCCTCTAGTCTGACAGTCTGTTCCCGGTAACCTCGTGGCATTCTTGCTTATCTAGCTCATTGCCAGGTACACACTAATATCTTTCCTGTGGGAGTTAAGGTTTGCTGATGGTTCCACACTCAGGAGCTGCAAAAGTAAAAAGGACTTTAGTTGGGACTCTTAGAAATTGCGGTTCAGACAGAGATGGAGGCCACTCTGAATTGGGAGGGTACGGAGAGTGAGTATATATGGGCTACTGAACGTTGGGAAGAAGCAGAGACTATATGACCGACTGAGTATAAAGGAAGCTGGGTGTGGCTATGCATGTCTCTAATCCTAGCACTCTGAGAGAATGAGCAACAGGATTGCAAGTTCAAACCCAGTCTGGGTAATTTAGCAACTTAGCAAGACCCTATCTCAAAATAAAATATAAAATAAAATAAAAAAGACTAGAGATGTAGCTCAGTGGTAGAGCATACCTGTGTTTAATCCTCAGTACCAGAAGAAAAAGCAAATAAAAGAAAGAATGTATGAGCAGAATGGAAATGCCTATAAAGCAAGAGCCTGTAAGCTTCTTGTGTTTGTTTTTCTGAGACAGAGTGTTGAACTCTGTAGCCCAAGTTGGCTTTGAACTTGTGGCAGTCCTCCTGCCTCAGCTTCCTAAGGGTTGGTATTATAAGCGCTTACCACCATGACTAGCTCATAGTTTTCCTTCTGTTTTTGAAGATCGCAGTTCTTCAGGGTCGTACTGCCAGCCAGGTCAGCCATCCCTCCCAGAGCAATGTACTTGTGTGCTGCCTGCTGTGCTGAGCCTGGCTCATTGGGACAGAGCTGTCATTGTGACCCTGTGGCTCACTTCTACTTATGGGTCTTTCTTCCTTCCTTTCTTCCTTCCTTCCTTTCTTTTTTTTTTTTTTTTTTTTGGATTTTTACCGGTACCAGGGATTGAACTCATGACCACACGCTTGCAAGGCAGGCGCTTATGCCGCTGAGCTAAATCCCCAGCCCCGAAAGATTTCATTTTCAATGGGGCCTCATTGGGAAGAAACACTGCAGTCAGTCCCATGCCTGACAGTCTGTCTCTCTGAAGGGCAAAAAAAAAAAAAAGTCATGGGTTATATATAATTATATGTATCTCGAGAGTTGGAACTTAGAGATGTAGCTCAGTGGAGATCTCGATCGGGCAGTGGTCTGCTGCTCATTCGCTCAGGATGGAGATTGGATAGAGACCTGTCTGCAGTAAGAAACACAGAGGCGACTGGAGGGTGATTTTGGCTCTTGTCACAAGATGTTTGTCCTTTAAACTTGTTTCTGGAATCTGAGGGGACTGCCCCAAGAGAGTGACTCATCGAGAATGGACAAGTCAGAACGAAGGCAGAGAGGTCACACTGTGATCCTGCATTTGTTACCCTTCCCGATCTTACAGTGCCTGCTTGACATAGTTCAATGTCCGCCCTGCCCTCATCTTGTTTATGTTTGAGGACAGACCGTCTGTAGGCCACAAGTTCCTCTTTAGGCGTGCCAGCCAACGCTGGCTGGATCTCAGATGGCTACCAGTGTGGCCAGCAGATGACCTCTGCATGCTAAACACGCCCCCCCCCCCGCAATATAGGGGAAATAAATGTAACACTCAACCTGCTAGATGTTAGATACACCGAGTTCATGTCCTCAAAACCAAGGAATAAACCCTAAGGAACCACAGAGGTGTAGAGTAGGAAAACTTTATTGAGAGTGATAGCTCTTAAGAGACAGAAGTGGACCCAAAAGTGGGTTGCCAAGGAGCCCACTTCACAGAGGAAGGTTCATAGAGCAAAATCATGCAGTTGGCTACAAGGTGGATTAAAACGATGATTAGTCAATGAGATTATAAGTATTGCTGCTTAGGTAATATTGATCCAATGGGGAAGCAGTTCTCATAGCAAGTGTATATGGAAAGAACAAAGACGTTTTTTAGGAAGGGATGGATCCAGAGGTCTTGGTCACCCACCATGGTGACTGATGTTTACCAAGACTTTGTTGAATTAGGTGATGTCAATTCTCCTTATTCCCTGGGGAAGTATCTAGGCCTGATCACTCTGTCTTTACCTCGAGCCCTTTACCCTGGGATCTAACAGTTGTGCCTCTGGCCACAGTTGTAATGAGTTTTTATCTTTGCACTGACTCCCTCAAGAACCTGACCCTATCTGAGGGCCTATAGTATTTCTACCTAAACTTGGCTTTCAATACCACTATGTCCTGACACTTGATGATTGCATGACAATGACCAGAAAGAACCACTTAAGGAAGAAAAAGAAGCAGTGCCCCAAATCCTTGAAAATCTCTACTCATTCTCAGAAAAGATATTAATAGTTCTCTCCCTTGTCCCTATTGTGAGTTATTCACCACACACAAAAGGAAATCACAGCTGGGTGTGGTGGCACACACCTTAGCACTCTATAAACTAAAGCATAAAGATCAGAAGTTAAAGCCCAGCCTGGGCAACTTAACAACTCAGTGTGAGGCTGTCTCAAAATAAAAAATAAGACTAGGAATGTAGATCAGTGCAGATGCCCTGGGTGCAATCCCTAGTAGCACTCTATTGTGAATCTAAGTTAAAACATGTGAAATTTATAATGTTATGATATTTGTCTAATGGTATATTATTATTATTATTTTGTCTTTTTCCTTTTTATCGGTACTGGGGATCAAACTCACAACTGCCTGCTTGCAAGGCAGGCGCTTATGCCGCTGAGCTAAATCCCCAGCCCCTATTATTTTGTTCTTGTACAAGTTAAATTTAAATTGGTTGCTAAAGTTACTGATACTCCTTTAGACAATAGCACTAGAGAAAAATATTAGAACACCTTTGAGAGACTTTAATGTAAACTTCTGTAAGATGGTTCTCTTTAAATGGAAATCTAGCTCAGACTTACAAAATATACATGCCTACATAAAAACCGAGACTCCTTCCACTGTTTAAGCAGCACTAGGCTGGTGGCCAGACTTAAGACTTGGAGGACAGGTTTCACTGAGACAGACTCTGATCCTCCTCTATGCTCTAGAGAAAATGTCAAGTTTGTTCTGCTTCAGTTTCCTACCTCTACTCATTTCCCACTTTGTACTTTCCTTACTGAGGCATGTAAGTCAGAAAGAACTCAAACCTTTTCCTTCTTAGTTAAGCCCATAGAAAATGAGCCTTTGCTAATGCCAAAATCAGGGAAGTCATCTTAGATAAAGGCCACATATCTCGTCTCTGTGTCAGATGAGACATTGATTGGAACTGTGCCCGTCCAGAACACACATGAGAGCCATGTCCTGGCTCAGTGTTCTGGGCAAATCTCCTTTGGAGATTAAACCTGAGACACAGTGGGGAGAACTAACTGACTTTCACATGACAGTGGAAGGAGCTATCCCCCAAAGCAGCACATGTATGGGACCTAAACACATTTATAACAACGAGACTCTCCAACCTCTCAAGTTGTGGACATTAAAACCTTTATTCATAGAGCAGTAGGTGATGATCTTGCTCAGGCTTTTAACTATCCCTTATAGAATTTTGACATACAGTGGTCACTCTGCCCGCTAATTAATCACTCTTATAGCAGCTGCCACCCTCAAAAAGCAGAGGACAGGTTCCCCAGCATCTATTTGGTGAATCCCCATTGAAGCCATTGGCCAATGGAATCAGTGGAATGTTGACCAGACAGACAGCTGGTTTCCTTTCTGGAGACTGATCTCTGGTTATCTTGATATAGGGGAATGAAACTCCCAACTTACTATGTTACTATGTCCTCGAGCTCCTGTTCTCTAAAATCGAAGAATGAATTTTAGGAACAACAGAGGTGAAGCATAGAATATATTCATTGAGAGAAAGAAAGCTTCTGTCAGAGAGAGAGAGACAGAAGGGGACCTGAGTGGGTTGCTCATCACTCTGTCTTTTCCAGGGACTTTTATAGAGTAAAATTGTGGGTTCAAGGTGGGGGAAAGATTCGGAACTCACAAAGCAGATGGGCATAAGGTGGGAAATAACTATAGTTAGCCAATAAGATCAATAGTTTAGGTAAAATTGATTACATTGTAAGGTCGGCGTCGCAGGGAAGAAGACCCCAAGGACTCACGTCTTTAAGGGTGAAAGCTTTATTTCCATGAGCATGGGGTCCGTCCAGCAAACGAGTGCGGAGGACCCCGAAGGGAAGTTACACAGGGTTTTTAAAGGCATAAACCGCAAAGCAGGCGATGTTATAGAAGCAGATCGCATTGGTTAGTTTTGAACGGCGCAGGGTTTGGCAGGAGCTGATTGGAGGGGCTCAGGGTTGGGTAACTTTAGTGTCTGGGGGTCATAGCCCAGTCACTGTGTTCCCGGAACAGTGGTTTATCTTTTTTTTGTTTTTGTTTTTGTTTTTACCAACGGAAAGTCCCTTCTTGTTTTGTACAGATAGCTCGGGGGGGGGGGGTGGCAGCTGTAAAGTTAACTCTTTCATTCCCCCCTTTTCTTGTGAATAACCTTTAATCTTAAAGGTCTTGTATGGGCAGGGGGTCATCTTGTAGGAGCACACAAGGGAGGTGTATGGAACAGTTTTAGGGGGTCTTTCGGCACAGCTTTAGCTTTAGGGGGTTATCAGACCGTTTAAGTTCCCAGTGATTGTCCTCTGGCGCCGAAGCTGGTTTCAGATGTGACGCATGGATCCTAGAGGTGATGCCGTCGACCTTTACCGCTGTGGGAGTGGTCAGTAGGATCTGGTATGCTCCTTTCCAGCGAGGTTGTAGGGTCTCTTGTTGATGACACCGGACGAGCACAAAGTCTCCCACTTGGTATGGATGCGGTATGGGAGATTCGCTGGGAGTGTAGGCTGAGGCTAGCTGGGTCCACAAATCCTTTTGTAGGCAGTCAAGGGCGATGAGCCTGTCAGACAAGGAGGTTGGTAACAGGGTGGAATGTTCAGTCAAGGGAGTGAGATCCCGAATGGGGGGTGGAGTGCCAAAGAGGATCTCAAAGGGAGTGAGGTTAGGGGGTTTGGCTGACAGAGTGTTCCGTGCACGAAAAAGAGCATAAGGCAGGAGCATCGTCCAATCTTTTAAGCCAGTCTCATGAGCTAATTTAGTGAGGGTCTCCTTAATAGTTCTATTCATCCTCTCTACCTGTCCTGAACTTTGGGGTCTATAAGCACAATGTAATTTCCAATCAATCCCCAATATGTTGGCCAATCCCTGACTTACCTTAGCCACAAACGCTGGCCCATTATCAGACCCTATTACCTTTGGTAATCCGAACTGGGGAAAAATTTCTTCCATCAACTTCTTTGCGACTACGGCAGCAGTTTCCTTTTTGGTAGGAAAGGCCTCAATCCATCCAGAAAAGGTGTCCACAAAGACTAACAGATATTTTAGTCCATACCGGGCAGGTTTAATTTCAGTAAAGTCTACTTCCCAGTATTGTCCAGGTCTGGAACCACACAATCTTTTGCCTGGAGCCAGCTTGGACCAAGAAGCTACTCCCGTCAGTGAAGTAGGTCACCTCAGCATCGGGTAAGGGGTAGTCCAACAGGTCTGATCGCGCCCCGGTTTCCTCTGCCAGGATATCTTGGCAAGTGTGAAGAATTGGTTCTGGGGTTTCTTCTGGTAGTAGGGTTGCCGGATTGAGGGTCACCAGGGGCCCAAAGGTTATTTTGTCTTTATTGAGTAAGAGGCTTTGGTAATGTGTAATCCGGGCGTTTGAGAGCCACCTATCGGGAGGTTGGCGGATGACACTTTCTAGCGTGTGTGGGGCAATAATTGTTAATTTTTGTCCCAAAGTCAGTTTGTCAGCGTCCTTAGTGAGCAGGGCTGCTGCTGCAATAGCCTTTAGGCATGGTGGCCATCCATTTGCCATAGTATCTAGTCTCTTTGAGAGGTAAGCCACCGGCCGTTTCCATGGCCCAAAGGTCTGAGTTATCAGGTAGAGCTAGGGCCGGGGCAGATAGGAGGGCTCGCTTGATGGCATCGAAGGCCTGTTGGTGATCCTTTCCCCAGACAAAGGGTGATCCTCCCTTAAGCAATGGGTAAAGGGGAGCTGCCAAGGATGCGAATCCTGGGATCCACAGCCGGCAAAACCCCGCCGTACCCAGAAATTCTCGAAGCTGTTTTTGGCTTTTGGGGGGAGGAATCTGGACCACAGTCTGTTTTCTAGCCTCAGCGAGCCATCTTTTTCCTTCCCTTAGGGTGTAACCCAGGAAGATTACCTCTCGTTTGCAGATCTGAGCCTTTTTTGCCGATGCTCTGTACCCCAGAGCGGCCAACTCACGTAGGAGATCTTGGGTCCCGTTGTTGCAGTCCTTCTCTGAATCTGCTGCCGGCAGCAAGTCATCCACATATTGAAGTAGAGTGAGGTCCGGGTGTTGAGCCCGGAATGGAGCTAGATCTTTGTGGAGAGCCTCATCAAAGATAGTTGGGCTGTTCTTGAATCCCTGGGGGAGGCGCGTCCACGTCAACTGTCCATTTATTTTGGAGTCTGGGTCTGTCCATTCAAACGCAAACAGAGGTTGGCTGTCCTTATGAAGGGGTAAGCAGAAAAAGGCATCTTTCAAATCTAGGACAGTGTACCAGGTTCTGGATGGGTTTAAGCCACTGAGGAGATTATAGGGGTTTGGCACGGTGGGGTGGATGTCTTCCACCCTTTTGTTGACCTCTCTCAAGTCCTGTACTGGCCTATAATCATTGGTTCCTGGCTTTTTAACAGGGAGTAGTGGTGTATTCCATGCAGATCGACAAGGGGTTAATACCCCCTGATCTAAAAGTCTCTGTATATGTACCTTAATTCCTTGGTAGGCCTCTCTGCCAATGGGGTATTGTCTAACTCGGACGGGGGAGGCAGTGGCCTTTAGAGTGATCACCACAGGTGGCTGTTGGTTGGCTAGTCCCAATCCAGCCGTTTCAGCCCAGGAGTCTTTGAAATCAGCTAACTAAGCAGGAGGAACAGGCTGAAGACTCTGATCATTATAGAGCCTATATTCATCTTCCAACTTCAGAGTCAATATTGTGACTATGGGCTGTTCAACCTTTGGGTTGCGGAATGTCACCTGAGGTCCCTGGGGCTCAAAGGAAATCTTTGCCCCTAATTTAGTTAACAGGTCTCTTCCTAATAGGGGAGCAGGGCATTCTGGGATGACCAGGAAGGAATGTTTTACTTTTCCTTTTCCCAGGTCGACTGTGCGCTCGGTGGTCCATGAGCGGTATTTGCTTCCGTTAGCCCCTTGAACTAGCGATTTCTTGGTTGAAAGGGCTCCCAAGGGGGCCTGAAGGGCCGAGTAAACAGCTCCCATGTCGACCTCAAATTCCACGGGAGTCCCCTCCACCTTAAATGTTACCCTGAGCTCGGGGAGGGGAACCGAGCCCCGAAGTCCCTAATCTTCCTCATCTAAGGCGAGCATGGGGGTTCGCTGCCGCTGTGAGGACTGCTTTTCTCGTTCCTCTTTGGCTCGCTTCCTTTTAAGTTTTTCACAGTCTTTGATTAGGTGTCCTTTCTCCTTGCAATATGCACATTGGTCAGGGTCTAATGGGGGGTGATTGGGCTTTCCCTTTCCTGTCTCAGGCTTACCCTGAATAACTGTGGCCAACACTTTTGCCAATTCCTTGTTTCGTCTTTTGTCTCTAGCTAACTCCTTTTCCTCTTCTGTCTCTCGTTTATAGTAGACTTTTTCAGCTTCCTTAACGAGATCCCTCAGAGTTAGGTCTTGTAGACCATCTAGCCTTTGGAGCTTACGTCTTATATCAGGAGCCAATTGCCCTATGAAGGCCATGGCGATTGAGCACTGTCGGCCTTCATCTTCAGGGTCAAAAGGCGTGTACCGTCGGTAAGCCTCCATCAGGCATTCTAGAAAAACTGAGGGAGTCTCAGTGGGCCCTTGAGTTATTTCTCTTACCTTGGCCAAATTGGTAGGGCGCCTTGCGGCCGCCCGGAAACCCACCATTAGAGTCTGGCGATAGATGGAAAGATGCTGCCTACCGTCAGGAGAATTGGGGTCCCAGTTGGGGCGTTTCAGCGGGAAAAGATCGTCAATTTGATCAGGTCTCTGGGTGGGTCTGCCATCATCTCCTGGAACATTTTTTCGGGCCTGGAGAAGGATTCGATCTTTTTCCTTGGTGGTGAACAGGACCCTCAATAGTTGTTGGCAGTCATCCCATGTGGGTTGGTGAGAGAACATAAGCGAGTCCATTAGGCCTGTTAACTTAGAGGGGTCATCAGAGAAAGAGGGGTTATTATTTTTCCAGTTGTATAAGTCTGAGGATGAGAATGGCCAGTACTGAAGGGCCGGCATTTCTCCCTCCGCTGTCCCATCACTTATAGTGGGCCCATAGGGACAGAGAGGGAGAGTGACGACCGGGTCCTCCGGCCGCTGTCTACTGTGGGTGTTCCGGGCTGGGCCCTCAGGCCCAGGGGGACTGGCCTCGGAGCAGGCCGCAGAGGGGTGTGGGGAGTACAGAGAGAGAGTTGGAGCTGAGGGAAGGGAGGCCTCCGACTCCGGCGGGGAGACGGGTGGTGGAAGTGCATAAGGAGGAGGCCAGGCAGGTCGAGGAGGAGGGTGATCACAATCAAGCAGAGGGAGGTCAGGTTGGGAGTCGGGCAGGACCGGTGCAGGGGGCCCTTTCAGAGCCAAGAGTTTGGGTATGGAGGAGTCGGGCGGAGGAAGGAAGGGTTTTACCCACGGTGGGGGCTCCTCCCTGAGGTCCTGCCATACCAAGATGTAAGTGACCTGGTCGGGGTGGCCCTCTCGTCCGGGGTGGAAGATGATGTTCTTAACTGCTAAGATGAGGGGAAGGTGGAAAGTCCCCTCCAGTGGCCAACCCACGGAGAATGTGGGCCACTCAGACGAGCAGAAAGTCTGCCATTTACCTTTTTTAACCTGTAAGGAGAGATTGTGAGCCCTCTCTCGAACCTCTGACCAATGGTCGAGGGTGAGGGACAATGGGGACGATGTCGTTTGTCCCATGGTGTTCTGAAGACAAAGAGTGGTTAGCGTACGCGCGACACAACAAATAACCGATCACAACAGCCACAACACACAGGACAAACAGGCCGGCCACCTCACTCTCATGCATTAGCCTCACACCAAATGAGCCACCTTAGGGGGTGCCTCCAGATTGGCCCGGACAGACCACAGATTGGGAATGAAATTCCCCAGACCGATAGGAAAACCCTATCGCAGACGGTGAGTCACGGAAAACCGTGTGGGGTGTCCCCTGATCACCAAGGAACAGAAATCGCCCCTGAAGTAGAGCCGGAGTTCGGCCTGGGGCGAAGAGAAACGGTGGATCGATCCAAAATGAAAGTAAAAATATGACCAGTCATACTCACCCGAAGAGGGACGCTGAGCCGTTGAGATCGTCTCCCGTGAGACGTACGATCTCGCTGGAGCCTCCAAATGTAACTATAGTTAGCCAATAAGATCAATAGTTTAGGTAAAATTGATTACATTGTAAGGTCGGCGTCGCAGGGAAGAAGACCCCAAGGACTCACGTCTTTAAGGGTGAAAGCTTTATTTCCATGCGCATGGGGTCCGTCCAGCAAACGAGTGCGGAGGACCCCGAAGGGAAGTTACACAGGGTTTTTAAAGGCATAAACCGCAAAGCAGGCGATGTTACAGAAGCAGATCGCATTGGTTAGTTTTGAACGGCGCAGGGTTTGGCAGGAGCTGATTGGAGGGGCTCAGGGTTGGGTAACTTTAGTGTCCGGGGGTCATAGCCTGGTCACTGTGTTCCCGGAACAGTTGTTTATCTTTTTTTTGTTTTTGTTTTTGTTTTTACCAACGGAAAGTCCCTTCTTGTTTTGTACAGATAGCTCGGGGTGGGGGGGTGGCAGCTGTAAAGTTAACCCTTTCAACATTAGGGACAAATGGGAAAGTAAGTCATATAGGAAACAGGCATTTTTGGAACTGTGACCTTTCCCCTAGAGGGATGGGATAGTGACTCCAGAGTGAGGGGGAACTAATTAGAATGTCAGTCCGCAGGATGTAGATGCATTTGTTTGATGCTTTGTCTTTTTGAGACAGGGTCTCTCTATGCAGTTCAGGCTGGCCTTGAGCTCACTTTGTAACCCAGGCTGGTCTTGAACTTGCTACGTTCCTCCTGCCTCAGCCTCCCTAGTGCTGGAATTACAGGCGTGAGTCACCATGTCCCCTCACCCCCATGCTTTGTCTTGAGGCCTGGCCCACAGCAGGAGGTGTCTGCCTCCCCCGAAGCTGCCAGGTGTTCGCACTGCCTCTATTGAGAATTTAGCCCAATCTCACTGCCTGTGATATTTCTAACTAACTCAGCTGCCTGCAACAATAATATTGGCTGGGCCAATAAAAACTAAGAACTGAGGGTCCTAGCCAGGGCAGCTCTCTGGTGGACACCCAAAAGTTCCTCAGCAGACATTTGCTCATGACCACTGAAAATCTCCACTTTTCTATCTTTATTTCTAAACTTTTCAGTGGATTTTCAGATCACTTAGACTACATTCCTCCCCCTTCAGAGGTAAGACTGAGATAGCTTGCAACAATTGTTTACATTTCACAGCAGGTAGTAGGAAAGGATTTACATTTGTAATTAAGAGTAAACAGGCGGGGCTGGGGATTTAGCTCAGCGGCATAAGTACCTGCCTTGGAAACAGGCAGTCATGGGTTCGTTCCCTGGTACCGATAAAAAGGAAAAAGACAAAAAAAAAAAAAAAAAAAAAAAAAGAGTAAATAGGCTTTGCTTTTCTGTGTGCCTAAAAACAAAACAAAAAAACTGGTGTGCCTTTACCAGCAGGTAAAATGTGATTGCTAGATGATAATTTGTAAATTTAACCTGAGAGCTTCAAAGACATAGAAATTTAAATGAAGTATAGCAGGGCTGGGGATTTAGCTGAGCCGGCATAAGTGCCTGCCTTGCAAGCGCGCAGTCATGAGTTCGATCCCTGGTACCGATAAGAAAAAAAAATGAAGTATAGCTTTATTCTGTTACTAGGAAAGGTTACCTAGGTAATTAAGTGGGAGACAAATGCCTGGAGACTCCTTTGCCCAGTGCATGGTGGGAGGCTCCTCCAGTCACTTGTTCTACCTATCTCTAGAGGGAAGGAGAAAAGCATCCTACTTCGGACTCACCTTTTATTGTATGCTCTCTTCCAATAAACAAGCAGTAGTTTATTACAAAGTTATGCTTCCTTCTTTAAGCATTCCTTATGGAAACAAAGTTCATGAGCTATCTGGGAAGACAGGTTTGCAGTCAGGCCAAGGGTGGATAGGCTGGCGAAATCTATCTTCCGTTCTCTCCAGACTGCATCCACCAGCTCTGGAGCAGTGTCAACCGAGGGACGCCTAGGGGATATTTAACAAATATCAATAAAAAAGGATGCCTTGTTTTATCTCTTTTATTTGCATAATTAGATAGCTCAATACCATTCATAGTTCAGTGAAAGGTCCTGAGTTCAATTATCAGGTCTAAAAAAGATTTCATACTTATGCCTTGCTTCTATATTACAGACATGGGCAGTACAGTGCCAAAGCCCCTCACTTAAGCATACATTCTTAAGCACCAGAAGATGTTCAACCCTTCCATGTTGAAAAAGAAACAATTAGTATTTCTCTGCAAGAGTGCGTGGCCTACCTACCTCCTAGAGCCAAAGTGGAATATAGAGGGATGTATTAATTATGATGTTCTTTTACAACTAAAATCATATTGTAAGAAAGAGGAAAAATGGCTAGAACTGCAGTATGTTAAATTTTTCTTAGCATTAAAAGATAATTCTTATCTATGCTCTCTTGTAATCCACAAACGAGCCCCCCAGAGATCCCTAACTCGAGCTCAAAAATGGGGCAAAACATATTTTTTAAAAAGCAGCACTGATTTATTTTATCCTGGGCCCAGCGACACAGTGCAGTTGGAGTTTGCAAAAGCTGTGTGTCTCTCTTAAAATTTGCAGCCTTTTTGTACATATCACAGTTTACAAAGTAAGGGCTTATGGGCATGGATCAGGAAATCTGCTACGGAGATGTTTCCTTAGCAGAGGACAGAGTAGTCTAGCAGTAATTAACAATCCTTTGTCAGCTTATTTTAGCACCACATCTGTTAGTTGTAGAGGGCAACAATGGTTAACATATGAATTAGGTTAGGTTCCCAGGGATTTACAATTCTTTACAGAGGGGAGCATTGATTAACATATCAGTTAGGTCACCCAGAGGGGAAAAAACCGTATACAGAACAGTAGGCGGCACAGTAGGCGGTGTTACAGGTACTTTGGCATAACACAAATGTAACAAGCAATAATGAAGCTCTTTTTGCTAGTGTACAGCAGCTCCAGGTAAAATTATAATCCTTATGAGGCCACTGCCATTCAAAGATCTCTTTTTCTCAGTGACTTAAAGCAAATTAAGCTAGAACTAGAAAAATTTTCAGATGACCCTGATAAGTACATTGATGTCTTTAGAGGATTTCCTCAGATCTATGAGCTAGGCTGGAAAGATGTAATATTACTCTTAAATCAAACATTGACTTCTAGTGAGAGAGAGAGGCAGCATTACAAGCTGCTATTGCCTTTGGAGCTGAATATCATATTGTTACTTTTAGAAGGCCAGAAGATAGACATCCAGGGAACCACCAGTCCCCAGTGGTGCACAAGCAGGTCCTACCCAAGACCCCAAGTGCCCTGACAACAATACAGGAGATTGGAACAGGAAACATTTTCAATTCTTGAAGGTCTAAGAAGGACAAAAACCAGGCCTTCTAGTTGTTTAAAATTGTCAGCTATTTCTCAGGAAAAAGGTGAAAACTCCTCTGACTTCTTAGATCATTTATCAGAGGCAGTAATAAAACATATGTCCGTAGATCCTGATTCAATAGAGGGACAGATACAGACATGTTTATTACTCAGTCAACTTCAGACATTAGAAAAGAGCTACAAAAGATAGCTTTTGCTCCAGATAGTTTACTTGATACTTTAGTAAAAATTGCCTCCTCAGTATTTAATAACCGTAATGAGGAGGAAGCCAAGGAGAGAAAATAAAGAGACTGAGAACAAGCTGCCACTTTTGCTGCGGCCTTAAGAAAAACAGACCCAAGTCTGATTCTCAGGGCTCCAAGAAGAGCTTGACAAGGACATTTACCTGCTCTTTCTGCCACAAGCCAGGTCACCTTAAGAGGGACTACACTCAGAAGCCCCTGGGCCATACCCAACTGCAAAGGTGACCACTGGAGGTCGGACTACCCTGAGGCCAAGGCCCCAGGGTTCAGACCCATCCCATCAGTTGGTCCAGCAGGACTAAAGGGCCCCAGGGCATTTGAAGCCCTCTCCCTCTGGCTGACTGTCATCTCCACAGAGGAGCCCCTGGTAATCATGACTACAGAGGGGAAAAAACATGAAACCAGCCTATTGCTGGATACAGGTGCAAGCCTCTGGGTCCTTCCTTTCAATCCTGGCCTTCCTTCTAGTCACCACACCTCAGGGAAAGGAGTCACTGGCAAGGAGGTAAGTTGTTAATTTCTCACAACCCTTAGGCTGTAACTGGGATGGTTTTCTTTTTACACATTCATTTTTGATTATGCCTGAAAGTCCAGTTCCTCTCTTAGGAAAAGATATTTTATCATGTTTAAATACTGTGATATATATGCACCCAGGTCAGGTGTGCTGCCTTCCTCTTGTGGAGACAGAAATCCTGAAGTATGGGCAGCTAAAGGTGGAACAGGTAGGGCACCAAGAGCTACCCCAGTACAGACACGTCTCAGAGACTCAGAGACTCAGAGACTTTTTCCTCATCAGAAACAATATCCTTTAAGACCCAAGGTTAAGAGAGGGTTAATACCTATAAATGATAATCTAAGAGCACAAGCCTTACTTGAGCCCTGTAATAGTCTGTGCAATGCTCCAATCTTGGGAATTCAGAAACCCAGTGGGGAATGGAGGTTGGTACAGGACCTTAGATGGATAAATGAGGCAGCAGTGCCCATTCACCCAGTGGTACCCAATCCGCACACTCTGCTTTCTCAGATCCCAGAAGATGCCAGTTGGTTTTCAGTGTTGGATTTAAAGGATGCCTTCTTTTATCTCCCTTTACATACAGATTCTCAGTTTCTTTTTGCTTTTGAAAATCCACAGGACCAAGCATCTCAGTTAATGTGGACTGTGTTCCTTAAGGGTTCAGAGATAGTCCACATCTTTTTGGACAAGTGCTTTCCCGTGACTTGGAATGTTTTGAGTTTTCCCAGGTCATAATCTTGCAATATGTAGATGACATACTGTTTTATGCCCCCTTGGAATTGCTCTGTAGCCAAGGCACTTGTGCTCTGCTAAGTTTTCTAGCAGACAGAGGTTATAAGGTCTCTAAATC